GATGCAGATCGTGTTGTTAACGAGGTCTGCTCTCTATAACACCCTTATTAAATTTGAGTCCGATATGAAAATCGAAGACGAACGGGCATTCAGAACCACATGGGTAGGCATACGCGAACAAGCCTCCAAAGCGGCCACCCGAAAGTTCTGATGCGATTCCGGAGTACTCCCTACTATCGCAATATAATTCCATATTAAGTTGTAATAAGGGCGATATATGAGGAGGGCGGAGGTTGGCTAATGGGAAGTGGCGCACTATCACACACGCACGGTCATAGGTTCGAAGCCTACTCGATATCCGCCTAGACCAACCAAGCCTTCCATTTCCCTGGGATCGCTTAACTGGTACCAGACTTTTCTGGGAGGATAAAAACACTAACTAGTACAACGACAGGCCACCACAAATCATTGTATAGGCCACATATGGATTCAATACGCCACAACGATTTTGAATGGAATTGCGTGGGCGCATCCCTCGGACGGGATTGATTAACGCCCCAAGACCATACCTTTTATCATTGCGTTGCCATCCTAAATGGCTTCGGCTGAGGAAACGGGAGATCGCATAATCACGGGGGTGTCATTCGAACCACAAAAAAGGAATGAAGGCGAATGAAAATGTCCTTATGGTTTCTGAAGGCACGAGAGCTCGAAAATGACTAGACGAACAAAGATGACAGCGAACGAAAGCCGGTGTTTCGCAAGCCATCCAAACAGTTGGCAGTAGAATGCGCCATGCAATTTCTGTTTCCGCACTTGCAGAGTGCAAGTTTGGGGTTCAAGAGTAAACACCCACATTTGAGGCTTGTTTACGGCTTGCTGTTCACTCCCATTGCCATGGAAAGGACGTAGTCGATCAGCGTCTTCTTTACTTGCAGAACATTTCAACCATTAGGTTTTCACCTTTTACTACTTACTCGCCTCCTAAAGGCAGTCTTCTAAACCTGACTCGTTAGTAAAGGTGATTCCCGAACAGACCTCAGGCCAACCGAGCCTCTCACTTATCGGGTTTGTTAGTTCTCAGTCTGGGAATATAGGAGCACTTATCTAACATCAGCTGTCCACAACCAGTCTGTATAGACCACACACGCATTCAACTGCCACTGCGAATCTGAATGGAAATCAAATGCGAGGCGCAATCCATAGACTGGACTGAACAGCGTTTAAAACCTTCATTTGCTGTACCAGGGCGTTTCTAATCTGTTAAGAGCCATCCCGCAGTACAGAGGTTTGATCAAGAAATAGTCCCCAGTTCCTACTCGCATATCCGTTGATCCTTCTAGAGGGAACCAGGTTAGGACTGCACCCACACGACGAAAGTATTTTCAGCTTCTTGTGGAAAACTTCGAAAGCAGCTTATACAACGGCACGGACTGCTACTTGAACAAATTGTCCACTGTATGTCAGGAATGCAGTCGACAATTTGCTTAGTTTTGAGTCCTCCCACTGTCATAGAAGGGAATTGACAAGCTACCTGAACATTCTCGAAAAGTATACTATATACTATATATATATATATATATATACTACCTTTAAAATCTATGTATGCGTATTACAAAAAAGAGTTGAGAACAACCGGCCTCAATGACAAGCTCTCTACGCCAGAAAACGGTAACATCCAGCTTTTTGTGACTTGGGGAATACTCCTCTCATTATCTACCTGCTTTCGACTTACCCCCTGTATTGGGTTATCCAAATTTTGACGATGAAGATTCCACCCATGATTTTCTTACGAGTGTTCTTCTTCTAAGGTTCAAACGCCATCCCCAGTGTAGATGTAAATCGCATGAAAACTGTAATTCCCACTTGAAAATGAAAAATGTTATTTCAATACATAAGTAGCTTAGTGAAAAAAGCCTTGAGCTGTTCATGTGGGAAATTCTGAAAGAAATCTCACTTGACACAGTTATTCTGTGGGAATAAGAAAACTAGTGACAGGTATCCAACCAGTAAAAATTTTGTTGGAAATCTGAGCAGTACGCAACTGGCAATACAATGAAAAAGACAATTTTCACGTGGAAGCATAGAAATAAAATGGAAATGTCAAGAGAAGAAGGGAAAGGTAAATGCTGTGGCGGGTAGGTGACCCGTAAGAGGTCAGCAGCGAGGAATGAATTAGTGGCGGAGGAAGGAGGAATCGTTGGATCGATTTTGATCTACTACTTGGAGTTGGTCAACAAGCGCTTACTGTACGGTACGCATTGAAGGCACACTAGAAGGGTTTCTGCTCTGAAAGGGGCAGCATCTGTCCATTTCGGAAGGGAAGAAATGTCTCCCCCAAATGTGTGAGGGAAGTACTGGAAGATGACTCCAAGACTATAGGAATATTGATGTTTGGGTTGCTTTGTATGTTCCCCTACACCCAAATTATGTTTTTTCTGGTCGCATAGGTACACGGGTTTCAAATGAATATGCGGGGTTAGGAGGGTGATGGAGGGGGATAAGAGAGCTTCCTACAAACCTGATACTTTTTGACTCTGAATGATAGAGCAAAAAGCTTCAACTAAGGTGCTTATGGATGAAGCTTACGGAGGAATCGAAGATTGTGGTCAGGACGAAGTGAACGGTTAGGTTTCCTTTCCACGTGTGGGCAGCTCCTAGGTCTGGGCCATGGCTTTCTGAGGCAAACGTTTTGACAGCTTGTCAATGTCATCCACCTAGAAGTAGCTTGATTGGGCATTGAAGAAGTCATTTCATCTCAGTTTGTAAGCTTTACTTACCTTTATTCACTTGGCATACCTCATGACTGGCCAATGACTTCTGTTCAGCGACAGAAAAAGCTTTAGAGTTGTGATTTCCAAGCAGTCGATGAGGTCAACTCAGAAGCTCCGCCTACCTCGTAAGTCACGCCTCCCAGCGAATCAAGGCAGTTCTCTTTCGCTTTTTGACTTAAGTTGCCGTATACCTGATGGCTACGTCTGCGCCTTTCAGCTGCCATCATTTTCCAAAGACTCTCTAGCGAAAGAATCCTTTCTGTCCAGTTACAGCAGCTATGTACCTAGCTTTATATAGAGACGTTGAACATCTCATCGAGCCAGCTCCTTGTCTGANGGCATCTGGCAGCATGTGAAGTATACAAGAGGATTATAAGAAATTTTTTGATGTATTAGGTTGAGTCACAAGTCCTCGAACAAATGATAGCGATGACTTCTAGAGATCATCACTCTGGAGAGAGGTGACGAAAATGACGCGCGTGGCACTATTAGATAGAGTACTAAAAGCTCTTCCAAATAAATACTATAAAACACACCTGACTGCTCCATTTCCTGCAACCTTAACCCATGATCTCAAGCCGTCGCAACTCCACCTCCGCAACACCATCCTACTTCTTTTCTTATCTGGCCTAGAACCCACGGAGATCGATAGACGTATGAAGGAAGTTTACGAGGAGGTTGCTCCTGCTAGATGCACAATTCACCAGTTCGGACGACTATTCCATCGAAAACGAAGACCGTCCGGGACGCTCAATGGAGTTGGTTTTGGAAGCGCTGCGGAGCCAGGTAGAAGCCGGTCCGTATCAAACTACTCGTGAACTGGCAGTCATTCTTGAGGAGACAGTTCACAATTATTCGTGGATTGAAGTCCATCGGCAAGGTGCGAAAGCTCGGTCGATGGGTGCCCTATGCTTTGAAGCAGTATGACATGGATTTTCGCACCAACATGGCACTTTCTCTCCTCACGCTCANAGCGCAGGAGATGGTCAGGTAAACTCGTTAATATAAATTTGGAAGAGCTTCTTATACTCTATCTAACGATGCCTGGCGCATCCATTTTCGTCATCTCTTTTCCGAGTTATGATCTCTAGAAGTCATCACTATCCCTTTGTCCGAGGACTTATGGCTCAACCTAATATTCCTCTTGTGTCTTACGCGTTTTATTAGGTGCGGATAATTTCTTCTATCCTGTTTTTTTTCTAAACATTTGTTTTCTCATATCGGAAACAGGTCCACATTCATATGTCGATTGCCATGCCGTAAGGACCTTTGGGGAACTTTTGGTTACATCCTGTACCTCATTTGAAGTTTCACTTTACCATAGGTTTCAAATACCAGATTCTCCCCCTCATTCAGTCAACTTCATTCCATGAAGTACAGCGCGGAACTTTGCTTACGGGGGACCTCGACGTCCTGCACGGGAGTCCCGTTCCTTGCAGAGGTTAGCACACCGTCCCATGGGTTACCTACAAACGAAGCACAGCAGCGAAAAGACAGCACAGCGGGGATTTTCGAAAGCCAACCCATAAGGACCTCGGCCCCTCCGAAGGTAAAGTACACCTTTTCAGTAGCCTGGACTCTCACGATAGCTGTCATAATAGGCCATACCAAGCCGCTGTCGAGACTCCCAACAGAGGGAGGTACCTTGGATTAAAGTGAAATGCTGTGGCATAAAAAAATTAGGATACAAAAACTCCTCAACACTAATCAGTGCCTGGTACCATTCGTTAAAGTCTATAATGACCTCTTCTGTCATATCTGAATGGGAAGGTTGTCTCAAAACTCGAAAACTGCTAGGAGAAGAAGAAAATAAACAGAATTTTTTGTGACCCCTACATGTTTCCTTAGATTGTTTACATGTTTACCCTTCGTCTTCTACAATACTTTTACTGGACGATGAACATTAGGAAAAATACAAACACAAGTCATTTCCTAATTGTCATAGAAAGCACTAAAAGGTTTTCCAAGAATAAATATGTTTGAGCGTGAAGTGATTTTAGTGGTCAATCTTGGACTTACAACGTAAAATACTGACTCAATCTATTGTTCACAAAAAGGCGTCTACAAATAGCTTAGAACTCGTTCAAACATTAACCCATTCAAGCAGTTACTCTGTGGCAAAATGCTAAATTACTCAAGTACATACAAACATAGTAAGTTGGTAGAAATTGAAACTCATTCGATTGCGCATTTCCATCGATAATTATAATGTACACGGCGCGATCGTCAATTAGGAAGACGAAATGAAGCATGTCGAGTGTAGTGAAGAGCGTCATACCAGATTATCTACTTGTTATAGGCCTCAACAAGCATTCCTACTCCATGTCCTCCAGCTGCACAGGCAGCTATTACAGCATATTGTCCTTTTTCCTCCTGAAATTACATTGAATCGAAATCAAAGAGCTATGTGAAACTATTCATGGTTGACTTTACAATTTAGAAATAAGTCGCTATCAGCAAAATTTCATGTATAGGCTAACATCGAACCAAACCATCCCTCTAAATTGTAAACTTTTGAGCAGGGCATGAATTAATTAGAATTAGAGATTAGAGAATTAAAAACACAAAAAAATATACAAAATAAGTAAAATATTATATTACATCCCAATCTATTATGAAAATTCAATAAATATATGAATAAAATAAAATTAAATTTCTGTAAATGGATACATAACCCTCACTGGCTACGTAGTATTAGAATGCCGGTCAGTAAGTTAGTAAGGAAACCGTGAAATATTACCCATTCGGCCACTAACTAGAAATTTACTGAAATATAGCAGTTACCTCGATAACCTGCAGTATCATGATCTCCTGAAAGCACAAGCAGCGTACCTTCAGTCTACCGGCAGCATGAGCAGCAAGCCGTACACCTGTAGCTCCGAATGGATGTCCAATAGAGAGGGATCCACCCCAGTTGTTGATTTTTTCCATAGGTAAACGTCCAAATTTGGAAGAGCGGCCCATATGTTCCTAGAAAGTCAAAATGATAAAGGTAGAATGATCTCAGAAAAACCTCATGTAGAAAGAACTCGGATCAAGGAAAGAGTAGGCACTCTGAACGACGATCCCTTAGAAATGATAATCTGATGCACATCATCCAAACAATCAATATCGAAAGAAGTGCAACGAACAAACCCTGCAGAAATAGTCCGAGTCGAGGGCATTCAAGTTTGCAAGTACTTGTCCAGCAAAGGCTTCATGAATTTCGAAGACGTCCACATCTTTCAACGTAAGGCCAGTCTGGAATTACACAAAAGATTGTTCCCGGACGAATACAAACAAAAACGAAACTTCCACCAATACCGGGCTTACCCTATCCAACAGCTTGGGAATAACATAAGCGGGTGAAAGAAGCAGTTGATCTTTCGGATCTTGAGCAACATACTGATATTGCCGCAAGTAAGCCATAGGCTTATAACCGTTAGCCAAGGCATAGTCTTCCGTCATAATGAGGCAAGCTGAGGCGCCATCGGTTAGGAAGGAAGCGTTGGCTAAAAAAAAGAAATTGATACAATAAGATCGTTGATCACGAAATGTCCTCATAGCTTATCTTTCGCAAAAAAATTTATATGCCACTATTAATTTCATAATAAAAGGGTGCAAATGAGCTGTCGCGAACCTGCAGTGATGGTTCCATGGGGCTTCACAAAAGCAGGTTTCAATGCAGCCATTTTCTCAGGTGTTGATACACGGATACCGTTATCAGTCTAGAAATTAATTAGAGAAATTAATTACAAATGCCCGCACTACAGGGCTATAAGAAGAAATGAAAAAGTTTAAGAGCAAGACGCAAATATTACCAATCGCCAACACGTGTGAAAAAGGAGTTCACTCACTTTGATTGTTTGGGGCTTTTTTCCATCCAAAAACACGGGAACGATGTCCTTAAGTTTACCAGCTTCTGTCGCCGCTTTCGCTAGCTTGTGCGATCGAAGAGCGAATTCGTCTTGCTCCCTTTAAGTGAAAGTTGAAAAGAATCATCAAATGGAAAGACGATGCAAAACAACTAACTTTCTTGAAACATTGAATGCAGCAGCAAGACGATCTCCACTATGTCCCATAGTTTCCCCGGTAGAAAATTCAGCTACAGCCGGTAATTCAGGCGCGAACATGTTTTTTAGAATATCTCCTCCTCAAAGAAATAAGCGAGTTCACGATCAAGACGCTATAAATCGACACTTTTCATTAGGAAAAAACTCACCAAGTTTCAGTTTATCGACTGGAGCCTTCGCCTTTTGTATGGCTAACATAGCTTTCCTAGCCTTAAACAAAACACAATAT